GCTAAACAGCCTCAAATGTTCCAAGCTTTCCTCATCAGGGAGTTCCTTCAGCCCTTAATCTGTCAGGACACTACTTTCTACACCTTTTCTAGCCCTTCAGAACTACATAGAGTTGCTTAAGACTATTACTTTACTACATACCTTTCATATGACCCTGAAAATGTGCTTTTTCACAGCAGTCGCATACTCATCTATCTATCTATCTATCTAGGAGACTTCTATGCCACCCCATTCACCGAAGCCTTGGGGCGGCTCACAACCATAAATAAACTTCAAAATAGAATAATATAAATTAACAATATAAATTAAGTCACCTTGGACAAATAATAAAATGAATAAATAATATTAACAATTGAAATAACGTTTGAATAAAAAGGTCTTCGCCTGATGCCGAAAAACAAATAACGACAGCGCCAGGCGGGCCTCTCTGGGGAGCGCATTCCATAGATTGGGCGCCACCGCAGAGAAAGCCCTCCTCCGAGAACTCACCCTCCTAATTTCCTTCAAGGAGGGTTCCCGGAGAAGGGCCTCTCCCGCTGACCTCAAGGGGCGGGCGGGCGGGCGGGCGGGCATATATGGACGTAAGTGCTCCTTCAGGTAACCAGGACCCAAGCCATTAAGGGCTTTATAGGTCATCACCAACACCTTGAATTGGGCCCAGACTTCAATGGGAAGCCAGTGAAGCTGACGGAGGACTGGAGTCATGTGAACATAACGCCCAGTCCCCGTCAGCAGCCTGGCAGTTCTCTTTTGAACCAATTGAAGTATCCGGACCGTCTTCAAGGGTAGCCCCACGTAGAGCGCGTTACAGAAGTCAAGTCGGGAAGTCACCAACGCGTGTGTCACTGTCGCCAGGCAGTCGTACTCCAGGTAGGGGCGCAGCTGATGGATCAGCCGAAGCTGAAAGAAAGTGCTCCTCGCCACTGCTGTCACCTGAGCTTCCAGTGAAAGCTCTGGGTTGAGGAGCACTCCCAAGCTGTGAACCTTGTCCCTAAAAGGGAGTGCAACCCCATTCAGGACTAGGTTCAATTCACCCTCCCCGAAGCCCGATCTGCCAAACAACAGGACCTCCGTCTTGTCTGGATTGAGCTTCAGTTTATTGGCCCTCATCCAGCCCATTACCTCGGCCAGGCACCGGTTCAGCACAGCCACTGCCTCACCTGGATTGGTGGAGAACGAGAGGTAGAGCTGGGTATCATCAGTGTACTGGTGATTCCGCAGCCCACACCTCCTGATGACCTCTCCCAGCGGTTTCATGTAGACCTTAAACAGCAAAGGGGACAAAATGGACCCCTGCGGTACTCCATGGCATAGCCGCCATGGCGCAGAGTCATAGTCCCCCAGCACCACCTTCTGGAATCGGCCATTGAGATAGGAGCAGAACCACTGCAGAGCAGTGCCTCTGACCCCAGTCCTGCTAGCCCATCCAGAAGGATACCATGGTCGATGGTATCGAAAGCTGCTGAGAGGTCCAGGAGAACCAACAGGGATGCCCTCCCCCTGTCTTTCTCCCTGCACAGGTCATCGTACAGGGCGACCAAGGCAGATTCAGTACCGTACCCGGGTCTGAAGCCGGACTGAAATGGGTCCAGATAATCAGTTTCATCCAAGAGTGCTTGGAGTTGTCCCGCCACCACCCGCTCTAACACCTTGCCCAGAAACGGGATGTTGGCCACTGGTCTATATTTAGTGGCCATCTCTGGATCCAGTGACGCTTTCTTCAGGACCGGTCATACTACCGCCTCCTTTAAAGGGGCAGGTACCCGACCCTCCCTCAGAGAAGCGTTAACCACTTCCAAGATCCAGATCCCAATCCCATGCTTTGCGTTATTAACCAAGATGGGCAAGGGGCCAATAGGCAAGTGGTGGGACGTACTCGTCCAAGCACCTTGTCCACATCATCAGGCCGCAGTAACTGAAATTCATCCATTAATTTTGGACCAGATGGCGACATTAGTATCTCCCCAGAAGCCTCTGAATCACTAGTAGAGTCTAGCTCGTGACGAATCTGAGCGATTTTCTCCCTGAAATGATTGGCAAAGTCATCACAGCGGGCCTTCAAGGGTGGAACCAGATCTTTCTTAGGGCCAGGGCGGACCAGGCCTTGTACCACTCGAAAAAGCTCTGCTGGATGACATTTTGAGAAGGCAATGGAAACGGAGAAGAATTCCTTTTTCGCCACCCTCACTGCCAGGGCATAGGCCCGATAATGGGCTCTTAAGTCTGTTCGGTCAGATTCATCCCGTGATCTCCTCCACCTACGCTCTAGCCGTCTCCCAGCCTGCTTCATTGCCCACAATTCAGATGTAAACCAAGGGGAAGAGTGGGCTCTGCCCGGTGGGAGAGAATGCTTAGGAGCGATCGTGTCAACAGCCCTAATCATCTCCCCATTCCATAGTTCGACCAGAGCCTCGACAGGAGCACCAGTCTTGTCAGCCGGAAACTCCCCCAGGGCCTTCAGGAATCCATCCGGATCCATCCGGCTCCGGGGCGGACCCACACAATCGGGTCCATACCCTTACAGAGGGAGAGGCCGCTCTCGAGCACAAACCTCACGAGGAAGTGATCTGACCACGACAGGGGTGTCAGACATAAATTCCTCACCCTCAGACCACCCTCTTCCTGCCCTGTCGAGTAAACCAGGTCCAGAGTGTGTCCACGTTCATGGGTCAGGCCTGTGACATGTTGAGACAGCCCCATGGCCATCATGGAGGCCATGAAGTCCTGAGCCGCCCCAGTCAGACCAGTCTCGGCATGGAGATTGAAGTTTCCCAGGACCAACATCCTGGGGGTCCTCAACACCAGGTCCGAGACGATCTCCGTCAGCTCAGGCAGGGAGACTGTTGGGCAGAAGGTTGCATGATACACCAACAGAATCCCCAATCTCTCGATCGCCTAACACCAAGTAGAGGCACTCCAGCCCTGGTCTCGAAGGGACTGGAAGTCCCATGAGGGAGATGGAGGCTCGGTAAACCAAAGCGACCCCCCCTCCCCTCCCCTCCAGGCGTGGATGGTGCTGAACCAGATACCCGGGCGGGCACAGTTGAGAGAGGGCGCCATCCCCGCCCCTCTCCCGCCCAGGTCTCCGTTATGCAAGCCAGGTCGGCCCCCTCATCCACAATCAAGTCATGGATGAGGGAAGATTTATTGTGGACCAACCTGGCATTAAGCAGCAGCACCGTCAGGCCCGAGGGGCGGTTGACAAGAGTACCTGGAACCCTCCGGCTGGGGGCAGAACCAGAATGAGGGACGGGTGTCAGCCATCTGCCCCTCCTTCTTCTACGCAGACACATTAAGCCCCCACTGCTCTAACGTCCATTGCCCGTGACCACCCCAGTGGTGGCGCCCACGCGCTCCCCAGGAAACTCAACCGTCAACATGGCCAGGGATAACTCCATAAAAACAAATTAAAATACAATAAAACTTTAAAACAGTAAAAAAACACCCCATCTACCCCACCCCCGATACAAAATTCCATCCACCGACCTAGCCCCCCGCCAGCCCAGCCCCACACGGCCACGAACGGCGGCGATCGCCCTTTGGCCGTCACCCTTCATCCACTGGCCAGAGGCCACTGGCCCCAGGCTGCGTCCGGTGGGTTAAGCCACCGCCTGCCCGCGCGCCCCACCCCAATCTGGCGTTGCTCTCACCGACGCCGGCGGGGGGGAGCAGAGAGAGGCGCGGAAACCCGCCTGGCGGCGAGATGGCGGCGCCCTCCTCCGCACCGTCGACGGCGGCCCTGCCGTGGCCCTGGCGTCCTCTGTCCTCAGGGTGGCCCAGCGGTGGCCGCAGGAGCGGCATCAGCTGGCCCCCGGCTCGGCAGTGCGCCTCAGGTCCGGCGGTGACAGCACGGCGCAGCGCGGCAGGTGTTCCGGGGAGGGAGGGGGAGGGAGCTCCAATCCGGCCATTAGCAACTAAGAAATACATGATGGTCCAGGGATGAGAATACTATTGATTGATATGCTTTAGAACTTTTATTTCTTTGGAAGTTTATTCAAGTCAATTTGTCATGCCTGGTTTTAGCTATGTTAAATGTTTATGTAAGACATTTGGAGATCAAGAAAAGATGCATACAAATCTCTTACACATGACTATTGTAATAAAGAAATTTGATTTATCTGGCAGGTGATGCTTCAGGTGAGGATTTCACAACCATGGGAGTCTCAAGGCTCCTTGGATAATCACTTGGGTCCTTTCCCAAAACAAATAGATGCTGCTGGCAGAACATTTATAAAGGTATCTTTACATTTGCATTTCCCTCTACTCTTTTTTCACAAATCACCAGTTCAACAGGAAATATGGTACTCTATAAAATAGCTGCTATCAGTTAATTACTTATGGGATGACCATAGAATTATAAAAGGCATTGTTAAAGCCACTATAAAACAAAGACATTGTTATAATTGCTGTGTTGTCATCTCTAATTTATGACAAGCCTTGTTAAAACGATAAACCAAACTTTCTCCTGCATTTCCCTCATAGCTCATGACTTGGTTAGGCTATGCTTTACTAATCTTTGTAGATTTAGGGTGCAATTCTATTCCTTCTTAACATTTTCTGTGAAGCCATAAAATTATTCCGAAGTCCTCAGATAGTGCAGCTGGGACTCTGAATACACCCTTGTAGCCAATAATCCCCTTCCTCCAAAGGGCCCAAATGGAGTGTGAAACTCTCCTCTTCGTTTTATCTTTACAATGGTCCTATGAGTTAGGTTAAACTGAGAGTCCGGGACAGGCCCAGAGTCACCCAGCGAGCCACTTGGCTGAGTGGGACTAGAATCCGGATATCCCAAATCCCAGTACAACTCTAACAACTAGTCCACATTATGATATCTTCCCTCAGGGAGCCGATTGATGGAGGTGAAGTAGTAAACTCATGAGGAAGAAAAGCGATGACGCCGGCGCAGAGGGGCAAAGCGAGGGAGGATAATGAGAGAATCGAGATTAGTTTGACTCCCCTTCCATACGCGCGGGTCTCTTATAATTACAGCACGCAACTACCTGCATATCCAGTCCTGTTACCTGCTCCCAAACTACAAACAACGGCAGCGGACCAAAAGCTTTTGGTTACTTCCAAATTTCAGTTAAAAAAATACAGCTACGGCGAGCGAAGGAAGGCAAACTTCCCGCCCCTTCCAAACGCGCTTGCGCTAAACATCCTCAGTTCCCCCACCCGCCTATGGGAGGAGCTTCGACTTAGAGTGCGCGCGCGCGAGGGACAACTGGAGTAGGAGAGAGGAACAGAAATCCGGGACGTGTCTGGGAATCGCCAAAACTGTTTTCCGAGAAGGCTAGGGGAGGCGGGATAATATATTCAACGAAAACACCTATTGGACTGAGGGTGAGTCTGGGGGCGGGATCTCGCCTGGTGCCTACTACGATTGGCTGAGTAAGTAGGTGGGGCACAGAGTGCTACGGAGCGCTGAGGGGCCAAGACGAGCTTCGTGTGGGAGGAAGGGACTATAAGCGGAGCATGTTGGGTATAGTACGAATGAATCGATTGGCCGAACGACGGATTGTCGCGTGAGGAGGAGGAGGAGGAGGAGGAGGAGGGGTTCGAAGCGTGTCGCGCGCTGGCGAGAAAGGGAGGCTGGGCTTTTGCTGTGGAGGTGGAGCTTGGTTTGTCTCGCGCTGCCGGAGGCGCGGGCGTGAGCGGCTCGCTGAGGTACGGAGAAGCTACTGCCAGAGCGTGAGGGGAGTAGCGGCTGCGAAAACGAGACCCCTTGGTGCCGCCACAGTTGAATGGCAGGGGCTCCGGGGGCGATCTGGAGGTACGTTAGGGTCGGGCCTGAATGTGTGTGTGTATGTGTGCGCGAGAGAGAGAGAGGGAGGACCAGGCAGGAGCTGTAGGAGCCGCAGACGGTGGCGCCTTCAGGTCGAGGGTCTGTGTCGCTGGCGACAGGGCGGGGGAGCGGATTGGGTGGGGCCTGCCTCCTTGTCTCGCTCTCTCTGTCTCTGCCGGGCGTATGGTCATAGCTGGCGAATGGCCATCCTTGACCCTGGGCCTATCAACCGCTGTACGGAGGGTCTGGGCAGCCTCTAACGAGTGGCCGGAGCGGGCGGGCCTCTCGAGTGCCACATTTCAAGCAAAGGTGCTTTATGAATGCTTCTTTCTACCCGTCTCCTGTCTTGTGCAGGTCCTTGGAGTCTACTGCCTTCCTCTTCCGAGCCCCACCCGCTAGCCCGATAGGATGGGGAGGTGGCTCTTTTTGAATGCACCCACCTGCGTATTCTCCTTATTCTTGTCTTTATACGGCAATTGGATAATTAGCCTTTTTGTTATATAAAGTTATTCTCAGAACGGTTTTCTCGGCGTATGTGCTCCGGTGTAGCCCCATTTCCTCTTGTTGCCCAGTGCTGCAGCCTTTCTACATATCCTGGCAGCTTGTGTTTATCCTTAAGGAATCTTAATAAACACTGGGTCTGTTATTCCTCCTGTTCTCTATTTTCAGCCCAGTGGTATCAACAGTTAACCCCTTGGTGGTTGTGATCGTTTTATCTGTGACAGACAATTGATGTAACAAATTGCTTGCTTTTCTTGCATTGAAAGGATTGATCATTCAAACTATTACAAAGATGTAAAGTAAACAGCTTGTTTGAATTTGACATGTGGAGTATCTGAGCAGGGTGTTTGAAACCCTTAATACCGGTGTACACTGAGTCACTGAAATTGTGCATAATATGAAGAATTTTAAGCAGTGAGTTATCTTTCATAGCTCTTGTCCTTAAATCTGATTGGATTATAAAACCTAGCCTTGTTCTGGGAATTCTCATAAATGTAATGGGGTGGGGCTCATGCTGTGGGCTTGGTTGAGACAAGATTTATTGGGGGGGGGTTGTGATTCCTGGCATCCTCCACTAAACAAAACCTTACATACTGGGGTTGTGAAAGATTTCATTTAAGATGGTCTGGGCAGATGGTCTTCATATGTTCAGAAATATATCCTCTTACAAGTGTAGCCATATTAACTCAGAAGTAAGTTCTACATTGCTTAGTGGAGCATACTACCAGGAAAATGTGTATAGGCTTGTGTCCTTAGTTGGGAAAGCATTTAGTCTTCAGTGATTGCTCCAGTCCATAATTTAAAATAAAACTTGAACTTGGTATCACAAAAAAATTGAATATCCTAAATAAAGCTATTGAAGTACCAATATGAGCTACACCTATTTCAAATGGTGTTTCAAGCAAGTTGGAGAATTTCAACCAAGCCTGCTTGAAAAGACTGGTCTAAATGTTTATAATCTGAAGAGATGTGGGTAGTTTGATTTTTGTTGGGCTGATTTAAATGTTAATAGTATAGAACATGTCACTCCTTTGTCATTTAAATTGTTTGTGGAAAATTTCCAGGTTCAAGCAAGAAAAAGTTCAAGCAACATTTTGCTATTCTACTAATTCATTACTGATGTGCTGAGCAAAAACTAGTGTCCACACAGTGCATCTTTAAAACTTAATGATCCAGCCATTGGCCAGAAGTAGTATACAGTTCTGCTTCTGTTATGTATTTTTAAATGTTCAGTGCTTAATCCAGGAATACATTATTATGGGATAATATTTAATGGATCCTGCAAGAACTCATAAGTTGATTTAAACTCTTAATTATTCTGATAGTTCTTCAGAATAGAAGAAACTATGGTGTCTGAAAATCACCAGAGTCAATATGTGCACAAATATCAGAGGTATCTCAAAAAAACCCAGTCAAATTGTATAAATGAGATTGAAAGGAATCTGAAATGATACACAGATTAAAAAACAAGACTTATAAGGTAAATGCTTACTATATATAGGTAGCAATTAGTAAGATTAGATCTGTGAGAAGTATATAGTTTGACATCTGTATCCAGACTATTCAGCCTTTTTCCTGTCAGAAGCTATTATACTCTCTTCCCACCCACTGCCACCAAGAATTTGAAAATTGTCTTCTAAATTCTTTCCAATTTAAAAACCAGTGTAGAAGGCTTGCTGTGAAAGTTTCTGAAAGGGAAGTGTCTCTGATGTGCTCATACGTGTTTTTCTATGAGTAAGCAGCTGTGCTTTTAAGTGTTTGCTGTTAACTTGGTAACAGTGAACACCTAGTATTTCCCTTTTGCTGATTATTCTAAAGTAGAATTTAGCATAAGTTAGTTTTTGGTTAAGAGCCAGATATGTTCCAATGCAGAATACTTCTGTGTGCAGGGTGGTGTGCCTAAACTTTTTTCCCCAGCTCCAGCTCTTTCCACCTCATGTGCTGTGTTTGAGTTCTTCTGAATATTGGTGCTGTTAAGTAGGGATCTCAGGAGCCCTTCTGTCTGCTTAGAATGCTTTGAACCTTAAAATGGAAAGTAAGAGGTGCTGAGTTAACTGCATCGTGTTTCCAGATATACGCAATACTTTATCTATGGAATATTAAAATCTGAAACAACAATGTTTGAACACATGTTGGGGCTATGCAATGGATATAGTAGGAATAAATGAAGCAAGAATGACCACTGAAATGTGAACATTAAAAATCAAAGTTTCAGTAGCTTAGTATGACTGAGATATAGCAGGGTTATGGCAAATTTAAATATTTTTGTGGTTAAGATGTAAGCCTGGGAGATCATTGCTTTCCCAAGACCATCCAGTGAGCTTTTCAGTCTTTTAGCTTCAATGTGCTAGCTGTGGGTCATGTCGGAAACCTATGCCAAGTGGTGCTCCCTGATGACCATATGCGCCTATTTTCTCCCCCATCTGCCTTGCTTGAAATAGCTTGAAGAAATGAAAGGTGACAGAAGAAGGGTAGGCAAGCATTTTGCACCATTTGCTTAAAACACGTACAGCACTTCACCAGCTTGTGATTCCACTAGTGAGTTTTGTTCCACTTTAGCATGATTGCAGGAGTGTGAGCCTGCAGTGGAGTGGGGGAGGTGTGCTCCAGGCATATGTGAAAGGGTCCTGATTCCAGATGAATGTGTTCTAAGTGTTTTCCCATTGTCTGTAGAAGGAAGGCATTACCTAAAGGCTGTATAACAGGGTAAAGGATTTTTCCTGCCATCTGTTGAACTCTCTTGTGGTAACACCATGGTTATAGTAGTTTATTATACTAGATTTCTTCATAGTGCTGTTTTTATTCTTTAATTTCAGAATGTATTTAGCAATGGCCCTGTTTGGAATGAACATTTGTGCTAGTATATACCAACCAGCAGTTTTTGCTTGTCTTGTTTTGCCAGCAGGAGTGGCTAAAAACTCAGGAAGCCTCTGTTTTACTTCCTGTTGCATCCAAACAATGACCTCTTGATTTAGCCACCCCTGCTAGTAGGAGGAGCCAAGCAGGAAGCAAATGAGCACTGTGTTCTGGTGCACTTACTTGTCCCAGGTAAAATTATTGTTTGATCCAAAATAGCCCAATTGCCTTGTCATTCTTTCTTCCATTGTGTTGTGGGATTCAGGGGACACTTTCTATGTATTGAGAAATTTCTAAACTTTCTTTCATTATTAACATTTTAAATACAGTAACAGATATTGCATTTGATTTCTGGAAACTAGTTGTTTTTAACTATCAATAAGAGTGGGCAATTGTAATAGGTCATTTAATTGATTAGCAGTAGGAAAACATACAACATAATGCATTTCTGGTGATGCTGCTAGTAGAGAATGGCAAAAGTCAGGCGATGAAACTTGGTTGATTGACCTGGAAATCAACTGCTGACTTTTCATAAGCAGTTCTGTTTGTTTGTAGAACTAAGGTATGGATTCCTTCTCTCTCTCCAAGAAAAAATAACAATAATAAAAAGTATAAGTGGTTGTTTCAGTTATGTCACTTATGTGTTCTGGCATTTCTGATCAGGGCATAATTTCCTGTTTTGTAACTTCATGCCAGAATGGCTGATGCAGCCATTGGTATGTCTCATCCTAAATGTTTGTGTTGTAAGCCTTAGGATTATATTGCTCATGATGTGTATGTCTGCTAGGAATTGGTACCTTGCATATACTGATAGCCTCTCTTCTCCTTGCTTTGGTATTTTATTATGTTTTTGTCTGGCTGTTACTTTGCATGAATGTGCTTTTAGGCATATCATTGGTTACACAATACAGACTTGACTTCTCCACCCACAGCAATCCATTTTTTAACAAGTGAGTAAGAAGTACAAATGCCTCTAAAAAGAAAATTCAAGTGACAACTCCAGTTTGAATACGCCTTGGCTGATTGTGTTTAAGAACAAGCTGACAGTGGTATAATTAAGCTAGTACTTTTTCTGAAAATACTGAGGGCAAACAAATTCATGAGTTAGGAGAATCAACACCCACTTCGTTGACATTGTTAGTTACACTGAGCTCAGGCCCCTAACAATCCAAAAGGTATATCACTGCCTTATCCAACCTGGTACCTTCCATATATTTTGGATTTCAGCTCCCATCCAGTTACACAACTATAAAAAAGCACATATCATAGTAGGTTAAATGGCTAAAAATGACAGTGTTCCTCCTAAGGTTGGTAACCTTTCCTAGGAAAAACTAGTTTCAGAATTTGCAGTGCTAAATAGCAGCATTTATTAAGAGATCTTGGGAGGTTTATTCTGTTTTACTTTTCTAAATTAGTTGAGATCTTTGTATTTAAAGTAATTAAAGAAGCAGTATTGTTACTTGCAATTGTCAGACTTTATGTATACTGCACATAGAATGCCATGAACCAAGATGAAGCAACTCTAGAAATGTTTGTACAACATTTAACTTCTTGGAACTTTTCCCTGCTTTAGCTTACATTTAGCTTCTTGGATTTTAGAAAACAAGCCTGTGCTCTCTTGAAATATATCA